TCCATATATGAAGAACATAATATCATATTAACTGTGGTCAATATCCATACAGTTCATTGTTAGAATAATCTTCCCAATATAACTGTTTAGACATCTCAATTTACATTGTGAAAGCAAGGGTCAACCTTACCACAGTGTTACTTAACCTGAAGTCAGTTTTCTCAGATTCCACGTGATAAGAACTCCTTTTGTCTTCTTGGTGTCTGGCTTTCACTCAAACAGAGTCTTTCAGCTTCATTCAGCTCAATGTTATATTTAGGCCTTTCAGAACAGAACTGGAAAAAACATGACAGGAAAGACTTTGATCGCTCATCCAAGTACTGGAGAAACACATCCATGGTTCAGCGAACATACTGTTCTTGTAGAGGATCAGCTCCAGTTTCTGACAACCACGATTGGCAGCTCATAACCACTTGCAAGTCTTGAGGACCTAGTAACATTATTTTTTTGAATTCCATGAATACTATTCTACCCATAATCAGCACTATATTGTTCATAAAGAAAAAAATATATGAGTTATCAAAAATCAAATATTTTCTTAAAACTTACTTGAAAAGTTCTTGTGTAGTATATAAGGCCTTAATTCAAATGGTAATATTTCAAAAACATGTTCATTATTTTCAGTTATTAATATTGTGTTTGAATTATTACCCCCTGATAAAAATTAGAATACTTCTAGTGACAACCAAGAGATGTGTTTCATTTATCTTGTCAAGAAAAATTTATTTTTAATATTTTTCTGAGATTTGAATCCAAAGAATAACATATAGCTTTGACATCACATGAATGAGAGGTGTTGTCCCCTTGGACAAAAATCTTCCTGCCCTCAATCTGGATTGGCTCTTTTATCTTGGCCAGTCCATCTGGCTAGAAGTAATGTATCAAGGCATCATATTGGGGAAGAGGTCACATCTTTATTTCCATAGAAAACAAAAAGTTATAGATTCACCTTCAGTATCTATAGGATGCATTGGATCTGCCAGGTTCCAGGGAAGGGACAGGAGTGGGTCACGTCCATTAACATTAGTAGCAGGTATATCTATTATGCTGATGCTCTAAAGAACAAATTCACCATGTCCACAGGCAATGCATAGAACACCCTGTACCTGGAAATGAGCAGTCTGAGGTCTGAAGACACAGTAACATATAACTGTGCAAGAGACACAATAGGTAGATGCTACTGTGAACTCAGACTAAAGCTCCCTGCAGCAAATTAGGAGAAGAGAGCTCTGGGAACACAGGGCTGGACTACTCTGGGTTCAAGCTGTGAATCCATATCACATTCAGGGATGTGTGTACTAATCCTTGAAGTTTCCAAAGGTTGATTTATTGAAATTTCAGTTTTCTGTTGAGATCTGTGTCTATTTATTTATTATTTTTTATATTGTTTCTATCTGTCTCACTGTCTCTGTCGGCATGTCTATCCCTTGATAAATCTATGTCTTTCTGTGTGTCTTTTTCTTTGTGTTTGTGTATATGTTGACATGAGATGGTTTCCTCTATAAGTCTATATGATAATTTTAATATAAGTTCCATCACTGGGCAAGGATTTCACCACTTGCCTAGACTAGTCTCAATGATCATACTGTCTCCATGTCTAAGAATTTTTCTCACTGATTGAGTATCACATATAGCTTTATTGTTTAGTTCTGCAGAACTAAACAAAGTTCCTTCTGTTTATGTGGTTAAAACTTGATCTACAGAGCTATCTCCATAGAACACCTTAGGTGTTTGTAAATGTAGAATATACTCCAATTTGAACAAAATGTAGATCATCACAAAGGGCAGAATGGGCCATATGGGGGCCAGACTCAGATCCTGAAGAAGCAAAGAACCCTTGAGGTTGTGTAATCCTAGACTATGACCAGAGACTCAGTAATATTCCCTAGTTAGAGCACTGTGTTGTTTAATGTCAGAGCCAACAAGGGTCAGTGTCAGTGTCAGTGAATCATGTGAATCATGAACACAGATTGTCTTTGGTAAGTCATCATCACACAGACTGGGAAACAGATCTAGTCTTGGATCAACTGTAGTTCTAGTAATAAAATGTGTGTGAGACTCCAGTACTGAGTTTGTGAGCTCAATGTATCTAGTGATACTCAGTGAGCTTCAGTTAGTAGAAAATAGATACTAACCCACTCATATATAAGGTGATTTCTTTGCTTCTTTTCCTGTTTGTGTGTTAAAGTTCATCTTGTGGAATTCCAGCAGAATTTAATGGGTGCAATGAGTTTTCTTTCCTACAAGTTTCTAAGAGTCTTATTTACACTGTTGTTCAAAAATTATGGTGTATAACACCTCTGGTAATTCTGAACTGAGGTTCTTTATCTAGAGCTCTGATGTATTCAAGTTACAAAAGTCAGAAGAAAGCAGTATTCTGAATAGCATGCTGGTATCATATACAGGTTTCATTATGAAAGAGTAGGTGGGCATTTGAAGCCAAGTGATTTTGTTCGATCAAAGCTTCAATCAAAGCACAATGTCATCTGTGAAATGATCTAGATTTTTCAGAAAATCATGAACATTGTTGCCTGTAATGATGGAATACCTGTGGCTGTAACACATTCACATCCTGGAAATTCTGAAGAAATAGCAAGGAAGGGGCTGTGAATTCATAGGTTCAACCATTAGGCAAAGATCTGGAAGATGCAGGTATGAAACAAATCTTATAATCCATCATGTAGGTCTATCAGTACATGAAATCATAGCAGCAACCTGAAGGTGGGAACTGAATAGAAAACCATAAAGAACCCTGTTTATTGGCATGCACTCCCTGGGATTTTCAGCATACTTGCTTATACTAATCAGGAAGAACTTCCCATCGATGGCACTACCCTGTGTGTCTAAACCATTCCTCTTCAATCATTACTCAAGTAAATGACCCTGCATTCATTCTTAAAGAACAACCTGGTGGAGGAGATTTTGTCCAAATGAAGTACCTTCTTCCCTGATGACTGTAGTTTTTATTATGTTCATGGAAATCTAACCAAATCACAAATGTACAATCTGGTACTGCCATTATAACAAGACCCATTAAGTGAGTGTCCATGTTTTCACCAGACATAAGTAAACAAATAATTGATAAAAGACTTAAGGATAAGAATCTACCTACCAAGTAGAATATAATTATATGTAATAGGTGGATTTACCATGAATTGATGGGGGAAGAGTCTTCTGTTTTGTGTTAATTTCATTGGTTAAATAAAGAGACTGCCCTGGCCCTTTAATAGGACAGAAAATTAGGTAGGCCAAGTAAACAGAACAGAATTCTGGGAGAAAGAAGCTGAGACAGTGAGTCACAATGGTTCTCCCACTCCAGGCAGACGCAGGTTAAGATCTTTCCTGGTAAGCCAGCTTACAGATTATTAGAAATGGATTGATGGGGATATCAGAATTAGCTAGTAAGTGCTAGAACTTATGGACCAAGCAGTGTTTAAAAGAATACAGTTTTTGTGTAATTATTTCTGGTAAAGCTAGCTGGGTGGTGGGAACACAGCCCGCCATTCTTCATAAAACAATAAATTCTTATTCTTTACAAATAATTTGCTTAGTGACTTTCTTTAGGGAATGCAAATAAAAGGGAAACCCAATAAGCAAGAATGTGCAGAGTACAGACACAAACTATCTATGAAGTAACCAAAGGCCAAGTTCTCTAATATAGTATGAGAGATACACATTTATTTATGTAATACTCCTTCACAATTTTTGTTAACACAATGAAAATATCAGATAAACCCAAAAAGAAACATGCTGAGAATAATATCTGAAAAGTATTCTAAATTTCAGAGCAAAGAACATGTGAAACACAGTACTCATAGTGGAAGTGACCATCAGAGTTTGCACAAGATGGCTGAATACCTAATGTTAAGACCTGTCTCTACCATTGCCACTCTAGTACAAAGATTATGCACACACAAATAAGGGATTTAAAATGTGAAATATCCAATCCAAAGTAGTACAAAGACATTCTCTGAATGCTGATTCATCAGTGGGGTCCAGCTCTGCACTTTATTTCCCCTATGGTTTGTATTACCAAGGCATGGATGAAAGCTCTTCAAACTCTTGTCCTCTATGGTGATCCACAACTCAAAGCATGGGGCTCCCCATATTCCTATCTGCCTACTTCTCCACTTTTGTAATGATTCAGCTTCTCTTCCTTATTTTTTACTTTAATTAACATAACTCTCAAGACTAGTTGTAAAGTACTGTGCTTCCTGAAATTTTATTGACAGCCAAATTTTCCATCCCTTATTAATGCAATTATTATGTATAGGAGCCTGGGTTTTTCTGTATTACTGGCTAAAAAGAAAGATAAAAGTACATAGAGAAAGGTAGACTGACATAAATCAGGAGGTACTAAAACCAGTACCTTAATATTGTGTTCCCAAATGAGAAAGTGAATAGGTTGAGCCACATGCTATAGGAACCAAATAAGTCTCTTGGGTATCCTCTCAGATAAACACTTGAAATCACACATAATAATGTTAGTGAGCTTCTTCTTCACAAGTCATCTTCTAGACAAGTGATGAGAATAAGAATGATTTCACAGACACAAAGTGAATAAATTTTAACTCATTCCTTAAAGTAGGGTTTCTGATAACTAAGAAGCCCAATTCCATACTAAATTCAGTGCTGCAATTTATAGAGATATACAAATGATTTAGGTTATGGTACACTGTTCTGCCTGCACTGCATAAATGTGGACTCACTTAGTGTAAACACTCCTTTGTTTAACTTGCCAGGTCTACACAGTGTGATTCATACTAATTCCCATTTGTCACGGTTTGGAAATACAAACAATAACAAGAAAATGTTCCTGAGGTCCCATATTCAAATACTCTAAGAAAAGTAAGACAAATCTCATTCACACGAGGAAAGTGGAAACCAAGTCCTGTGCTTTCTTTTATCCTCTCAGGGGCATGTGCCAATGCAAAGCAGCCCTCAGGCTCACTATAAAAGCCCAGGCCCAGCTGAGAGGCTCCATCTCCTTCTCACTAGAGCTTCCAGCAAAGCATGGCTGTCCTGGTGCTGCTCCTCTGCCTGGTGACATTTCCAAGTAGTAAGTGTTTCAGAGTTTCAGGAAAGGGACCCAGGCATATCATCTATATGATTTATGACTGATCATGATGTTGCTTGTCTCCAGGTGTCTTTTCCCAGCTACAGATGAAGGAGACAGGACCTGGCCTGGTGCAACCCTCACAGACCCTGTCTCTCACCTGCACTGTCTCTGGGTTTTCATTAACTGACTATGATATAAGCTGGGTTCGCCAGCCTCCAGGAGAGGGTCTGGAGTGGATGGGAGCAATATGGAGGGGTGGAAGTACAAAGTACAGTTCACCTCTCCAGTCTCGAATCACCATCAGTAAGGACAACTCCAAGAGTGAAGTCTTCTTAAAATTGAAGAGTGTGCACACTGAAGACACAGCCATATATTACTGTGCCAGAAACACAGTGAGGAAACTCTAATTTGAGCCTACACAAAAACCTCCTTATAGAGGCATCTGGGACCAGCAGAGGGCACTAAGGACCTACAGGAACTCCTGAAAACCAAAAGTGAGGTTCACTTACTTTATGCTTTATGAAATTGAGTTTTAATATCAGAACCTATGATTTTCTCTTCCAGCCAAGCATATCCTGAGGCCCCTCTAGTTTGTCATACTATGGTCAACCTTCTATGTGTACATACATTAGATCAAATTATTTTTCTACATACCCTCTATGTTTTCCAACTGCTTCTGATTACCAGAATGAATGGCAACTAATTTGATATATTTTGTGTTTTGGTGTGTGTATGTGTGTGTGTGTGTGTGTGTGTGTATGTGTGTGTACCAACTGAGATTTCAAAGGGGGTCTGAAATTGTGACACTTATTGAACTAAACTTCAATGAAAAGCTGCGGAATTTCAAATATTTTTAATTTATTCTCTTTGTTTTTTTATGTGATAGAGAAACTACAGCTTCTCTGTCAAATTCACTTTTTAAGGATAGATCTAAAAATGAAATATACAATATTTTCTTCTTCTAAACTAAGAAAACTTAAAAGAGTACACTTGGTTATCATTTGTGAAAAGTTCTAATTTTAAACATTTCCATCTTGCCAAAAATTAGTATGCACCTTAATTCTCAAGGAATTATTCCTCTGTATGCATATTTGCATCCTCTCAATGTATAATATTCTCACCCACCAGTGTGCACTTTCCAACTGGTGTAAGCTCCATTCATGTTTCCAGCTTACATCAGCCCTTCCCAAAGCAACTAAGTTTTATAAAAACCGAGTTTCAGTTTGTGATTTGTTGATGCTGTTACTGCTTACATAGGCTCCCAGAGTTACTCTACTACTCTGACACTCTGTTGCTGATGATGAAGAGCCTAGTGTCTCATTGTGAGCTAGAAAAGTGTCATTCAGAGCAGCAGTGTTGACTGTGGGCTCCATGTTAATGGATCATCGACTTGAGGCAGCCTCCAAAACGAAAGGAAATGTCCTCATCTGAGGCTGAGGCCTCTCTGGAAACTCTGGCATTGAATCCAGTAGTCCAGGATTATGCTTAAAGAACAGATTGACTAGATTATTGGAATCCTAAAATGAGGAAACTTAACTTTGAACTGAACAACTCAACATGATGCTTAAAGAAAAGGATCCATTGTTATGTTACCTTAACTCAAGCCAAGGAGCAGCCAAAACAGGTCATGGGAAAAATGATTAACAGAGCAAATCTTTTAAGCAAAGTTATTGGATAAAATATGCCAACATCAATAGCTCTAATTTCCAGTGACTTCAGTTTTGACCAAGAACACCATGCCATGTTAGTGATATGCTAATACAATGTACAAATGGACGTTCCATAGACCATACTGAAGTAAGAAAATGACTGACCAAATAACTGAAGACAAAAATCCAGCTCTAAAGTGTGGCAGATGTATCAATAATGCATGGAGATACCCTTGGAATTTCTCCTCTTTATCATGTCCTCTCATTGTTTCTAGAGTTACAAATAAAAGAGGCACACAGATGACATGAGTGTAGAAACCTGGCACACACTATATCATCCAAAACACAAGAGATAGGGTTTATAGCATGTGTGTTTGATAGTGTGACAAAACTGGCACATGACATAGGTTCCTGTGATATTTTCCCTAATTCTGACATATGTACAAGTACCACCTTAGTGAGAAGTGTTGAGTAAGTATATGTAAATGACTATTTTACAGAACATGTGTAGTTTTTCTTGTGAAATGATTATATAAAATAAGTGAGGGACCCTGCCAGTTCTCAGTCAGTCAGACTAGTGGTCTCAGATCAATTGTATGATCCTGGTACAGACATGGAAGATGTTAAAATGTAATTCAAAAGTGCCTGGTAGCTTCAAATCTGACATTATATTTTCCCACTTAAAATCAGATTATTAGCATCTTTACTATTTACTTGTTTTATTAATAAACTTATTAATTACTTATTGGAAAAATGTAAACTTTTGAGACTGGTAAAGTATTTTAATTAATTAGAAGGACCCCATAAATTTGGTAAATATTGGATCCACATTATAGTAATGAATTTACGAGTTTAATAATTACATGATAAACATTTTGTACATTCTAGATTTAAAGATTAAATAAAATAACCCATATTCTAATAGTGTAAAATAGAAACATGGATTTGAGTTGACATTTAACAAGAATCCTCAGTGAAGCACTGTGAGAGTTAACACCACCAACAATGTTTTGGTAATGGGTGCATTTCTTTCCTGTCTACATTTATAGTACCATGAAGTGTCCTCTATTTTACTTAAATGAAGATGAAATGTTTGTATTCTGATTGTGTTAGAGTCTGTATATCTCTGACAGTCCTAGAAGATAAATAAGGGAATTGTTTTCAATGCACAGAATCCAAAGTAGATCCTGTCCCTAGAACTAGATCTGACTAGTGCTTTTGAGGAGCTCAGGTTCCATGAGAAGGGGAGGATGTGTTCAACACAAGAATCATGCTGTTAGAGCTGTTGAAGAAAAAGGATCAAGATGGGGTTGACTCAAGTGTTTATGGATATTATCTAATTTTCAAGGACTTAAGTTTGTAATGGAAGGGAATCACTGCTGGTGAACCGGATATTCATAAGAACATTAGAGTTGAAGGCCTTTAATATTCTAAGGTGATGGATTTTACATGTTTGCAATGTATTTTGGTCATACCCTGACTCAAAACTTCCCTTCCTGTTTCTCTACCTCTGGCCAACCCCATACAATTTTCTAACAAATTCAGGTCCTCTTTTTTTTTTTTTTGACACAACCAATCTTGTTAATGCTGACCACATTCCTGTGTGTGTTGAGTCACCCATTGGACAATGGCAACCAAGAGTAGCCACATCCCCACATAAAATTACTCTCCATCCATCAGCAGCAACTGTTGAATGCAGAGACTATGACTGTTCAGTACTAAGAATAAACAACTGTGTGAGAGTTTATTCACAGATAGAATGACTATATTAAAATTTACACATGATCTACTTCCCTATACCTCCATATCCTTCCAACCTAGGCACAAGGAACATCACTAAAGAGTGGGTTGAAGCCAGGTAGTGGTGGTACACTCCTTTAATTCCAGCACTTATCAGGCAGAGGCAGGCATATCTTTGTGAGTTCTAGGCCAGCCTAGTATACAAGAGGTAGTTCCAGGACAGGATCTAAATCTACAGAGAAACTCAGTCTCAAAAAAAAAAGCAACAACAACAAAAAAAAAAAGAGTGAGCTGAAAGAAGTACCAAAGAATGGGGAGGAGTGCTTGGAGACTGTAATCTCTGGATATTGCACACTTGAAATTACAATAGCTATGACTCCCTCTATAATACATACACAAAAACAAGCAAGATAAATGGTCTAGCAACTAGAGGGGAGGGGTCACTCATGCCCCACCCACCTGATATCTTCAATGATTTTTTATGAGATAATTATGCCATGGTTTGTTTGTGACCATGAGAGACCGGCCCCTTTCTGAATGGAGACAATAAATGAATATTGGATGGTAGGATGATGGGAGAACTAGGGAGGGAGTGGAAAGAGAGGGAAAATGTGGTCAGTATGTAAAATAAATGTAAAAAAAATAATAAAGGAACAAATTTTCACCACTTCCCATGTCACAAAATATAAAAAAAATAAATTAATATTAAACACTTTTCAATACAACAAAGAAATATTTTTGAAATCTACAGTATAAAGGTCACAAGACAATAGTTACTATGTGTATTTTGCTAAAGAGCATACACTTTAACTGTTTTCTAATTTTCTACCTATAGATCTTTTATGCCTTGGTCAGAGTAACACTTTCTGCAGCATATGACTTCTACGGCAGTATCAATAACTGGATAATACTAAGAATAAATGACACTCACCACATGTGTGTGTTGTGTGTGTGTGTGTGTGTGTGTGTGTGTGTGTGGTACCAACTGGAGCTTAAGAAATATAGCCAGAGACAGTTGAGGAATACTGTTGAGTTAGGCAAGGTCTATTAGATACAATATATCTATTGCAATTATGCACATGGAGCAACAGCAAATTGCAGCATATTGCCAGAAAAAAAATAATAGGATGGAAGTGTTTTTAAAAATGATGTGGGTTTGAGAAAAAAAAGAAGAGAGAAGAGAGGAAATAAGGAATAAGGATTATTGTCAGGGAGACAGGGAAAGGAGGGGAGGAAGAAAAGAATAAATGAGACATGAGAGAAGGAGAACCAAGGAAGGCTCATCAGGAATGAGAGGCAGAGGAAAGATGGAAATAGGAAGGAATGATTCATAGAAACTTTTGGATAAGCTTTAATCTGGCTCGACTGAGTCAGAATTCATAAAATGTCTTCCACAATAAATCCTCTTTGCCTGTTTCAAAGTAAATATTCTCCATCTCCTTAATAAAAAGATAAAGGAAATTGTGCCATTACAATGTTTCTAAAATGTCACACCAGGTAGATTTGTTAGAGGCACTTTGTTTAAACTGAGATTCCCATTTTCCAGATGATCACTGCTTTAGCTACAATGACAAATATCTCACCACCATAAACATATGCAAACTTTCACTGTATCCTAACATGTACCATCCATTAAATGAGTTTCTGTGGGTCCCCTAAACATATGTAAATTATTTTCTGAACAAGCACTTAAGTATAAGGCTTTACCTCTCAGATGGAAAATAATTATAGTGTGTTTTAATCTGAACTCTTTCCTTCTGAAAGTAATGTTTTCTTGGTGATTTCCTCCTTATTTTTCAACTATTTCCTCCAAGAAGCACAAGACAAATATCAATCACCTGAAGGAAAATTGTAACCCTTGCTCTGTTCTTACTTTTATTCTCTCAGGGACCTCCCCCAATGCAAAACAGTCCTTAGGCTTAGGCTGAAAGCAAAAGCTTAGCTGGAAAGTGCGGTCTCCTTCTTACTAGAGCCTCCAGGATAGCGTGGTTGTTGAGGAACTGCTCCTCTGCCTGGTG